TCAGTAGTACCATCAGATTTATTTCTATTCTTCAGGGTATAACAATCAGCTCTAATATGACCATTCTTCCTACAATAGTGACATGTTTTCTCAACATGTTTAGATTTCGATCTGCCCTCATATTTCTTCCAAGATTCCTATCTTGATTTCTTCCACGCACAAGCAAGCCTTTAGCATGATTCCTAAATCCTCCAGCAAGATGCCTTATCTTCTCCTTAGATAGTAAATAATCATATTCATTTTCCACGATGAGAGTATCCCGACTATAGAGAAAAATTCTCTAAAAGTCACATATGATGGTGGCAGAGAACACAACAAGTCCTTCGTGTCATACTTAACTTCCAATATCTCCAAATCGGCTATGATTTCTTTGAATATAGTTAAATGATCATCAAATGATGGACCTTCAGACATCCGGTGAGAATATAAGCATCGTTTCAAGTATAGGTTGCTGGTCAAGCTCTTTGTCATGCAAAGTTGCTTCAACTTCAACCACAACGCAGTGGCACTTCTCTCCTTTAGAACATCATAAAGAATTTGCTTTGAAAGATGTAGATGAATTTGAGATTGGGTTTTTCAATTCCTACGCCTCTTTTCATCCTGCATCCAAGTAGCGACATCTTATCAAAACTAAGCAAGGCTTCCTCCAAATCCATCCACGCTAGAACCGCTTGCATCTTCACTTGCCATAAGATAAATCTCATGCTTCTATGTAATAACATGATATCATACTTCATTGTCACCATACAGAAAAATCAACCTTGTTTTGATACCACTTGTTATGAAACAAATAAGATATTATAATTATTCTGATACCACTTGTTATGAATTTGGACCGCAAGATAATGACGATAATGAAATAAATAAGAGAAAATAAAAAATAAGATTTACGTGAAAACCCAATACTGGAAAAAACCACGGGCAGAGGAGGAGAAATCCAGTATAATCAATATCAATTGTACTTACAATATTTCAATGCACTCAATTGAAATCTAAAGCTCTCAAGATGTTCTATAAATCTTCCCCCTTGTGTTAATTTCTATACAACTTGTGCCTTATATATATAAACCATAGAGAATAAGTTGTAGAAGAATAGAAATCAAAAATTGCGTAAAAAATGAAAACGGGCCTGGACCAAATAAGCCCGTCGTTTAAGTGACATGGCAGCTCCAGGAGAGCAACCAAGTCTCAGATTGTTTACCGGGCTCCCTCGAGTGTCCGCTAGCGCTTGACTAGCAAAAATGCGACGACTTTTTCTTCTGGTCCATAATTTTGATATCTTCAAGACCACTCCGATTTAGACTTCAATACCCACTAGAATTTGGGTCAAATCATAATATTTACAAAATTAAATGATTGTGCATAGGTCATTTTATTGAATAAACTGAGATTATAATTATTAATTTTTTTATGATAAAATAAAAAGAAAAAAATAATTAATGTGCAACAGTCATTTCCTTAAAATGAAATAATGAGGTAAGATTGGCACAAGATAAAAAAAAAAAGGGGGCAAAAGATAGTTAAATGATGGATTAATAACAAAAAACCCCCATAAACGTTTCCATGTACGATATACCCTCTACCTATTGGAAAATGCAAATTAAAATGGAATAATTGCAATTTCAGTACACAAACTTTTTACCTTTTTACACATTAAATCTGAAATTTTTATATGTACTACTTACAATCCAAATGTTTGAAACTTTATTTTCTACCCCACCCAACCCCACTTCATCTTCTTTCCCAAAAATGACAAAAAGGTTCTCTCTTTTTTAGTGAGAACCATTCTTCCATTCCGGCCTCCACATTCTATTTCGACAAGGAGGTGAGTAATTATCTATATTCTACTCTCGTTGATTGTATATTTCAGTAAGATTGAGGGTTTTCTTTAAATTTTCTGGTGTTGCATAAAAAGTTAGTTCAAGTTTAATTTTGTGACGGTTAACTATGCCCCCATTTGGCCCCCATTATTTGTAATTTTAATGGTTGGAATAATTTTTTTTTTTTTTAAATGTACGGTTAAAAAAGAAGAAATTTTTTTGGGATCACGTGTAATATTATTTTATTAAAAAATATATGTATGAAAAGAAGTGAGAAAAAAATGAATTATAATTTTAATAAGGGTCAAACGAAGACTAAGACATACTTGTTTAACACCTATTTGGCAACAATTAAAATAAAATTCTTTTCTTCTTAAACTCATTTTTAATTACAAGTTCTCACCATAAAATATTTCACATGTAAAATCAAA